CAGCATTTCTGTGTTCTCAAATAAAATGCTGTGTCGAGGTTGATTCATCAGGTGCACTTTTCCTCTGGGTGGATCTTTGTCTTTATTCTCGTGGCTTGTTCTTGGTTTTGCAACATTTACAGAAAACCCACACACAGAGACAGATCTACATAAAAACTCCAACCATCACCCAAGTAAAAAAAGAAGCACCATTAAAGCCTTGGCAGAGCGTGCAAAAAGAATCTGCGAAGTCCACCTCCTCCAAGATGAACTGAACCACCTCAACTGGGCTCTCCAGGCCAATGGAGACTCCACCTCAGACATCAGAAGAGCGGCAAGACAACCGAGAAGAAGCCACGAGAGTCAAGACCAAGATCCACCCAGAGGAAGAGTGTCCTTGCCAGACATCAAGGGAACCACTGACCGCAGAGGGAAGCTGATGAGGAAACACAACATACAAACTACCTACAGACCCACCAAGAAAATCCAACAAATGCTCCGTTCAGCAAAGGACAAGAGGGATCCTCTCACTTCTGCAGGAGTCTACCGTATACCATGCAGCTGTGGACAAGTCTACAGAGGAACCACCAAACGCAGCAGCATTGCCCAGACACGAATGAAGGAACATGAAAGGCAGTGCAGACTACTTCAGCCAGAGAAATCAGCCATAGCAGAGCACCCGAGGAACCAGCCTGGACACAGAATATGATCTGAGAACACAGAAATGCTGGACCACGCTCACAACCACGATGCCAGACTACACAGAGAAGCCACTGAAATCCACAAGCATGTGGACAATTTCAACAGAAAGGAGGAAACCATGAAAATGAACAAAATCTGGTTATCAGTATTAAAAAACTCAAAAATTGCAACAGTGCAACAACAGAGAGGAAACAGGCAGGGACATCTAATTTCCTCTCAACAAAAGATTGTTCCAGGCACAGTCAGGCCATTATATGCTAATCAAGGAGGTCAGTTGAACCATTCACACCTAGCTCCAGCAGACAAGAGTCCTTTGTCCCACCCTGGTCATTTCACAGATATATAAACCAATTTTCCTAGTTCCAACAGACCTCACTACCTCTGAGGATGCTTGCCATAGATGCAGGCAAAACGTCAGGAGAGAATGCCTCTAGAACATGGCCATATAGCCCGAAAAAACCTACAACAACCCAGTGATTCCGGCCTTCGACAAAACCTTTAACACAGCTATTAGTCCCAATTATGGTCATCCAAAGAAAAATGAGAAAATACATACTGCACCACCTCTCATACAATTCATCCCATTTAACAACATCTAGAAAGCCACGTGTTCTCTATCTGTATTCTACATGCAGCAGGAATGTTATCTTTGGTGATGGCCCTTATCATGTGATGCTGTATGTATCCCAACCCATTATATTCCCACTACATATTGTACAATGGTCGCTTCAACATGACATCAGTACATGGGATTCTTCTCGTCTCCCCACTTGCCCTTTCCATTTTCAAGGTGGTTGCTTTGGATGTATTTTAGTTATACTGATTTTCTAATGCTAAAATGGTGCAATTTTGCTGCTGCTGCTGCTGCTGCTGCTAATAATAATAATAATAATAATAATAATAATAATGTATTGTCCAAGGCTTTCATGGCTGGAATCACTGGATTGTTGTAGTTTTTTTTCGGGTAATATGGCCATGTTCTAGAGACATTTTCTCCTGATGTTTCGCCTGCATCTATGGCAAGCAAGAGATGCTTGCCATAGATGCAGGTGAAACATCAGGAGAAAATGCCTCTAGAACATGGCCATATAACCCAAAAAAACCTATAGCAACCCAATAATAATAACAATAACAATAACAATAACAATAACAATAATAATAATAATAATATTTTTCCGTGTCTGGAGTGACTTGAGAAACTACAAGTCGCTTCTGGTGTGAGAGAATTGGTCCTCTGCAAGGACGTTGCCCAGGAGATGCCCGGAGTTTTGATGTTTTACCATCCCTGTGGGGGGCTTCCCTCATGTCCCTGCATGGGAAGCTGGAGCTGACAGAGGGAGCTCCATCCACTTTCCCCAGATTTGAACCACTGTCTTGTCGGTCAAAATAATAATAATAATAATAATAATAATAATAATAATAATAATAATGACACAATATGAGGATTTAAAGCTCGAACTGCAAAGACTGTGGCACAAGCCAGTCAAGGTGGCCCCAGTGGTGATCGGCACACTCAGTGCAGTGCCTAAAGACCTTGGCCTGCACTTATACACAATCGTAGCTGACAAAATTACCATCTGCCAGCTGCAAAAAACCACCCTACTCGGATCTGCACACATTATTCGCCGATACATCACACAGTCCTAGATACATGGGAAGTGTCCAACGTGTGATCCAATACAACAGCCAGCAGAGTGTCTGTTGTGGACTCATCTTGTGGTGTTTCTAATAATAATAATAATAATAATAATAATAATAATAATAATAATAATAATATAGAATAGTGCAGGAAGGCAGAGTTACTGAGATTGTGTTGAAGACCTATTGCAGAACCACAGACTGGTGAACCAAAGAGAGGTGCAATATTGAGAGAGCACAACAGCACATATTCATTATCTGCAACAATACAGAGTAGTGGGATGGTGTGATAAAGTCTGGAGTCTAGGATCTCAGATATTACATGCACTCTTGTGTTTATATGTGTGCATGCTTCTGGTGGGTGCTTAGAAACAACATGCTCCCAGCCTTTGAAACTGGTTGTTACAATAATATTATTAATAATAATAATAATAATAATAATAATAATAATAATAATTATTATTATTATTATTATTATTATTTATTTTTATTCCCCCAAGGGGAGAGGGGGGTAATGCCAACGGAGAAGACTACAAAGCATATTTCACATAATAAAGCATTATAAGCTGAGGGTGACTCATAACCTAATCACTAACTTCATTATCTCCACTCCCACCATAATTTATTAGTCAGCCTTTTAATTTATTATGTCAGGCTTTACTCATGTACAGTCTTTTTCCTTATTTGTTCCACTTCTGTCGGGTTTCAGAGCTTTAGTGCAGAGAGAGAGTTTCTCTTGGCCACATATGAAGAGAGTAAATAAATTGCAAATTAATGCAGGTGTGAGCTGGGCTGTACATATCAGTGGTTTAACCCATGCCAGTTTCACCTGTATTCAGGATGGAAGTCCATTCTGTGATTTTTGAAAAAGGTATGTGATTATTAGCAACACCAGATTATGGTCTGGTGTTGCTAATAGGAACGGGCTGTGGCACAGCTAGTTAGTAGCCAGCTACATTAAATCACTACTGACCGAGAGGTCATGAGTTCAAAGCCAGCCCGGGTCAGAGTAAGCTCTTGACCATTAATAGCCTAGCTTGCTGTCGACCTATGCAGCACGAAAGACAGTTGCACCATTTTATGCGGGGAGGCTAATATAACTAATTTATGACAGCATAAAACCTTCCAGCAGCATGTGTAAGAATGAGGAAGTACTCCATCAAGGACTCCGTGTCACAAGTGGATGGTGAAGCAGTACTTACTTACTTAGGCGATCCCTTGTTGTCCGAGTAGGATTGTCTTCCAATATCGGTGTACTGGTGGTGAGTCCGTAGGTGACAGTGTAGCCCTATTCTTGATCTGCATGTTCTCCCACAATGAGGGCATTGGTTTCCAGGTGGAAGGCGGTCCCGGTCGGAGTTGGCTCGACACGCCTTCCACTTGCCACGTTTCTCCCTTTTGCCATAAAACCTTCCAGGAGTGTGTGTAAGAATGAGGAAGTACTCCATGACTTGATGCGCCTTCCTTTTGGCACGTTTCTCTCTTTTGCCTTTCTGGCTTGGTGCGCCTTCCTCTTGGCACGTTTCTCTCTTTTGCCATAAAACCTTCCAGCAGCATGTGTAAGAATGAGGAAGTACTCCATGACTTGACGCACCTTCCTCTTGGAACGTTTATCTCTTTTGCCTTTTTGGCTTGACGTGCCTTTCTCTTGGCACGTTTCTCTCTTTTGCGATAAAACCTTCCAGCAGCGTGTGTAAGAATGAGGAAGTACTCCATGACTTGACGCACCTTCCTCTTGGCACAGTTCTCTCTTTTACCTTTCTGGCTTGATGCGCCTTCCTCTTAGCAAGTTTCTCTCTTTTGCCATAAAACCTTCCAGCAGCGTGTGTAAGAATGAGGAAGTACTCCATGAAGGACTCAGTGTCACAAGTGGACAGTGAAGCGGCAGCTCCCCGTGTGGCCAGAATCGAGCATACCCTCATGAAGCCAGAGAAGCTGGAATGTTAAATTCCCTCTATGTCTGTCTATTAGGGCTGGGCGGTTTCGTTCGTTAATTTCGTAATTCGTTATTAATTCGTTATTTTTTTTGATAACGAAGCGATATTGAACCATTCAGGAGCAACTAAAAAACGAAACGAATTTTTCAATTCGTTTCGTAATTGTTTCGTAATTGTTTCGTATTTGTTTCGTATTTGTTTCGTAATTTCCAAAATTTCGTAAATATCGAACTTTTTTAAAGAAAAATTTCGGAATTCTTTTAAATAACGAAACGCAAAAAACCCCTAAAAACGAATCGAGTTTAGAAACAAATTTTTCCGTGGTTGGACAGCCCTACTGTCTATATATGTTGTATGTCTAAATGGCATTGAATGCTTGCCATGTATATGTGCATTGTAATTTGACCAGAGTCTCCTGTGGGGTGAGAAGGGTGGAATAGAAATACTGTCAATAAAGAATTAAAGAAATGGTCAAACTGGCAAAAGTTATAACTGAGGAAGAACAGATACGCAAGGGGAGACATTCCAGTTTGCTTTTGATTGAGCTCCCTGGGGAGGACAAGATACTGTTCCTTCTATCCCTTTCCCCACTCCTGAATTTATTGCATTTTGAACATGAAAGCTAGAAAAAAAGTGTGAGAAGATATCATTGCCTTTTCACGTGTCCTTTATTTCAGCAGGAGAGGAATATATGCTGGTTGCAACATGGGAAAACTTTACCTTTAACAAAACATTTTTTCCCTTCATCCTGAAGGTAGCTCACTGAAGGAACTGAAGGACTTTGAAGTTGTGTACCCACAAAAACTCCATGCATTGCACAAAAGAGATGTTGGAGGAATCCAGAACCCCCAGAAGAAGGTAAGAGCAACATGTTTCTTCATCAAAATGTGACCTATCATTATAGATCCAGCTACAACAGAGAGGAAGCAGGCAGGGACATCTAATCACCTCTCAACAAAAGTTTGCTCCAGGCACAGTCAGGCCATTATATGCTAATCAAGGTGGTCAGTTGAAACATTCACCCCTAGCTCCAGCAGACAAGAGTCCTTTGTCCCACCCTGGTCATTTCACAGATATATAAACCCATTTTCCTAGTTCCAACAGACTTCACTACCTCTGAGGATGCTTGCCATAGATGCAGGCGAAACATCAGGAGAGAATGCCTCTAGACCATGGCCATACAGCCCGAAAAAACCTACAACAACCCAGTGATTCCGGCCATGAAAGCCTTCAACAAAACCTTCAACACAGCTATTATATATATATTATATATATATAATTTTGGAAAGCCCAATTATATTACCTTCTTGTGAGATGCCCCCATTTCTTGCTGAGATGCCTCCTAACCTTCTCCTTCTCCTACTAGAGATGATGACAAAGATCCATTCCTTGCAGTATATTAGGACTGTGGTAGACACAGTGAGCTGACCAGAAGGTTGGCAGTTCGAAGCTGTGAGTCAGGGTGAGCTCCCGACTGTCAGCCCTAGCTTCTGCCAACTTAGCAGTTCGAAAGCATGCAATGTGAGTAGATCAATAGGTACCACCCCGGTGGGAAGGTTAAAGGGCCCCCCATGCAGATGTGCAGACATGCCGGCAACACAATTGGAGATGTCTATGGACAACAGGCTCCTCAGCATGAATAAATGGAACCAGAGCACCTCCCCATGGCCGGAGTTGAGCATCACCTCCAGACGTCGGAAATGGGAAAAAGGGGAAGGCTGTGTTGTATGTTGCTGATCACTGTGTGTAAAAGACATTGAACGTTTGCCTCGTATGTGTATATTGTAATGAGTTCTGAGTCCCTCTGGGGAAATAAAATGGAATATAAATAAAGTGTATTATTGTTAAAGATAAAGATAAAGGTTTTCCCTGATGTTAAATGTAGTTATGTCCAAATCTGAGGGGTGGTGTTCATCTCCATTTCTAAGCTGAAGAGCCAGCGTTGTCTGTAGACACCTCCAAGGTCATGTGGCCAGCATGAATGCATGGAGCGCAGTTACCTTCCTGCAGAAGGGGTACCTATTGATCTACTCACACTTGCATGTTTTTGAACTGCTAGGCTGGCAAAAGCTGGGGGTAACAGTGCGAGCTCACGCTACTCCCCGGATTTGTACAGCCAATCTTTCGGTCAGCAATTTCAGCAGCTCAGCAGTTTTACCTGGTGTGCCACTAGCGGGTTGTTGTTGCTATTATTATTATTATTATTATTATTATTATTATTATTATTATTGTTATTATAAACACAACAAGATGAGTCCACAGCGAACAAGATCACTCTGCTGGCTGTTGTATTGGCTCACACGTCGGACACGTCCCAAGTGTCTAGGACTGTGAGATTTATCGGCGAATAATGTGTGCAGATCCCAGTAGGGTGGCCTTTTGCAGCTGGCAGATAGTAATTTTGTTAGTGCCGATTGTGTTTAAATGCAGGCCAAGGTCTTTAGGCACTGCACCCAGTGTGCCGATCACCACTGAGACCACCTTCACTGGCTTGTGCCAGAGTCTTTGCAGTTCAATTTTGTTGTTGTTGTTGTTGTTGTTGTTGTTGTTGTTGTTGTTGTTGTTATCATTATTATTTGAAAGACAACAAGATGAGTCCATAGCGAACAAGATCACTCTGCTGGCTGTTATATTGGATCACACATGACACTTCCCAAGTGTCTAGGACTGTGTGATGTATTGGCGAATAATGTGTGCAGATCCCAGTGAGGTGGCCTTCTGCAGCTGTCAGATGGTAATTTTGTCAGCGCTGATTGTTTTTAAGTGCAGGCCAAGGTCTTTAGGCACTGCACCCAGTGTGCCAATCACTAGGGCTGGGCGGTTTCGTTTCGTTAATTCGTAATTCGTTAATAATTCGTTAATTTTTTCAATTACAAAACGATAACGAACCATTCTGGAGCAATTATTTAAAAAAACGAATTTTCAAAAACGTTTTGTAAATGCTTCATATTTCGATATTGTATTCGTTTCGTTATTGTTTTGAGGTCGTTTCGTTATTATTTCTGCATGTCTGGGCCAGTTTTATGGTTTAATTAGTGAAAAAAATATAATATCACACCAACAGTCAACAACAGAGGGAGAGGGAAGCTTCAGAAGGTTTTGGAGGTTTTTTAGCGTATTTCGCGGTCGCGTCCGCCATTAACGAATCGATTCGTTATTGTTTCGGAAATCGATTCGTCAATTTTTTACCATTTACGAAATTTCGTAAATATCGAACTTTTTAAAAGGAAAATTTTGTAATTATTTTAAATATCGAAACAAAAAAACCCCCCAAATACAAATCGATTTTAGAAACAAATTTTTGCGTTGTTACCCAGGCCTAGTTTATATATCTGTGGAATGACTGGGGTGGGGCCAAGAGCTCTTCTCTGCTGTTGTTGTTGTTGTTGTTATCATTATTATTTGAAACACAAGAAGATGAGTGCACAGCGAACAAGATCACTCTGCTGGCTGTTATATTGGATCACACGTCGGACTCCTCTCAAGTGTCTAGGACTGTGTGATGTATCGGCAAATAATGTGTGCAGATCTCAGTAAGGTGGTCTTCTGCAGCTGGCAGATGGTAATTTTGTCAGTGCCGATTGTGTTTAAGTGCAGGCCAAGGTCTTTAGGCACTGCACCCAGTGTGCCGATCCCCACTGGGACCACCTTGACTGGCTTGTGCCAGAGTCTTTGCAGTTCGATCTTGTTGTTGTTGTTGTTGTTGTTGTTGTTGTTGTTGTTGTTGTTATTATTATTATTATTATTATTATTATTATTATTATTATTTTCTGGTGGGTGACAATCCAAACACAATGAGCAAACAGAACCTAAGTTTTGAATTTACAAATGACTTTGTTACTGAGTTTCATTAAAAAAAACCCCTCTTAAGTTATTCAACCACATTCTCCCACTTCTAATTACAGGACAAGTATGACGACACGGTGCAATATGAATTCAAAATGAAAGGAGAGAAAGTGCTTCTTCACTTAGAAAAAAACAAGTAAGTTTCACAGTTGAAAACTGGAACACACGCTGCAAAAGTAGTACCAGTAGATGGTAAAAATTGCAAAATGTAGTAATAAGGAGGAACAGAGCGTCTAAGGGGAGGCTGCAGCAGTTTCATCTTGCCTGTGCCTCCTGGGAAGGACATGATTTTGCTGAGTTAGTTGAATGCAAAATATTTTTGCATTTTTAAACTCAGTTTGCAGCAACTGAAGTAAGCTCCTTTCCACCTGCTACTAAGGAGGCTGTCCAGGTCCTGAACCGGTGCTTGGCCGCTGTGACGGTCTGGATGAGGGCGAACAAATTGAAATTGAATCCAGACAAGACAGAGGTCCTCCTGGTCAGTCGCAAGGCCGAACAGGGCATAGGGTTACAGCCTGTGTTGGATGGGGCCGCACTCCCCCTGAAGACGCAGGTTCGCAGCTTGGGTGTGACCCTGGACTCATCGCTGAGCCTGGAACCCCAGGTTTCGGCGGTGACCAGGGGAGCATTTGCACAGCTAAAGCTTGTTCGCCAGCTGCGCCCGTACCTTGGGAAGTCTGACTTGGCCACGGTAATCCACGCTCTGGTTACATCCCGTTTAGACTACTGCAACGCTCTCTACGTGGGGTTGCCTTTGAAGACAGCTCGGAAGCTCCAACTAGTCCAACGCTCGGCAGCCATGATTTTAACAGGAGCGGAGCGCAGGGAGCATACAACCCCCCTGTTGCGCCAACTCCACTGGCTACCGATCTGCTACCGGGCTGAATTCAAAGTGCTGGCGTTGGCCTTTAAAGCCCTAAACGGTTCCGGCCCAAGCTACCTATCTGACCGCATCTCTGCCTATGAACCCACCAGGACTTTGAGATCTTCCGGGGAGACCCTGCTTTCGATCCCGCCTGCTTCTCAAGCTCGGCTGGCGGGGACGAGAGATAGGGCCTTCTCGGTGGTGGCTCCTCGGCTGTGGAACGCCCTTCCTACGGACATTAGACTAGCACCATCTCTAATGGTATTCCGCAAAAAGGTGAAGACCTGGATGTTTGTGCAGGCATTTGAGTAATTTAGTGCAATCTGGTAATGGAACATAGGAATGGAACAATGGACGACGAACCTGGACTACGCTTGGATGATGAGAAGATTGGGTACAGTTGTTTTTCATAATAATTGTGCATTGTAATTGCTTATTGGTAATTTATGGATAATGTGTTAAGTCAATTGTTATATGTTGTATGGAACCACTGCTGTTTCTACTGTTTTTACTGTTTGTGAACCGCTGTGAGTCGCCTTCGGGCTTGAGATACAGCGGTATATAAGCAAAGTAAATAAATAAATAAATAAATAAATAAGATTTGAACCAAGAGGAGAGGAGGGACATTTTAAAAGCATTGAAAAAGTGGGTCTACAAAGGATTTATCTAGACCAGTGGTTCCCAACCTTTTTTGACCAGGGACCACTTTGACCAGGGACCACTCTCCAACAGTAGTACCAAAAGGGTTACGAATCAGTCTTTGGTCAACTGTAGATTTAGTTTGGTTATTTGGGGTGCTGATTCTGAAAATTGTGTTGGATAGACCACATCAGCTTTAGTTTCTGATACAAAACATATGCCATTCAGTAGTCACCATCTGCTTGTTCACAGAAAACCATATTTAATAAGTGTTGGCACTATAAGAGGGTTTTTCCAGACCAATCGCTCTCGTTGCAACTATGTCATAACGATGAGTGTGCCGTCGCGCCTGGGGGCTATAACTCTTAGTGAAAGAGGCATGGACGTGACATCTTTCTCCAAGGGGATTGCTTCTTGCCCTCCTTTAGGAAAACTGGAACTCCCAAGGACCAAAACACTGTAGATAACTCAAAATAAGTTTAATTGTTCACAAAGAGTTACCCCTTTAAGGCAATAAGCAGGAAGTTTCAAAGGGGTAAAGGAAAATATACATTACAGTCTCTGGTTGTCTCGGGTCCAAGGGGTTTTGCAGCTGAGAAGCTTTTCCAGTCCCCTCTTTCTCAATGGCTGTGAATATCGGAATAATCACAACTAGGCCTGGGCAGTTTCGTTCGTTAATTTCGTAATTCGTTATTAATTCGTATTTAAATTAGCTTACGATCCAATATTGAACCATGCAGGAATAGTGTGAGGAGTAAATTAGATTCGAAACAATTTTTTCAATTTATTTCGTAATTGTTTCGTAATTATTTCGAAATTATTTTGTAATTATTTCGTAATTATTTTCGCATGCCTGGTGCAAGTTTTATAGTTGTTGTTTGTTTTATCACACCAACAGTCAACAACAGAGGGAGAGGGAAGCTTCAGAAGTTCCCCCTGTCCCATTTGGCGGTTTTTTTAGCATATTGCGCAATCGCATCCACCATTAACGAATCAATTCGTAATTTTACAAAATTTCATAAATTTCGAAATTTTTAAAAGGAAAATTTTGGAATTCTTTAAAAAAACAAAACGTGATGGACCCCTAAAAATGAAATGAGTTTAGAAACAAATTTTTCCGTTGTTACCCAGGCCTAATCACAACCCCAATTCCAATGGCCTATATTTTGAAGGCACAAAGCCTTCCTCTGGTGCCAAAGAACTGGTTTGAAGGCGCTTGAGACTTCTCAACGTCATCCAGGTTGATCTGAACATGAAGCATAAGTCTCAAGGGTAAGAACCTCAGAATTGGTGCTGAGAGGTAACTTAATCAAGGGCTTCAGAGCCAAGTCTCTCTCTCACGTCCATCTGATAGAAAGTTTGATGGTGGGATGGAAAAGGAAGCACTGTCCCGCTCTCTAGGAAGAGGTGGGGTCAAACAACTGAGCAGGAGGAGCAACTTAACTGGTGCAAACAACATTGATTGACAGCTATAAATAACCAATCAATCCAACTATACATTTACAGGGTAAAAAGGCAAAATCAGGCACGATACAACAGTTCAAATCCTGCAACTTACAGTTCTACATATAGTTGGCGCCACTCGCGCCGTCACAGTGAGGCTGCGGACCATATTTTAGTTCTTTTGGACCACAGGTGGTCCACAGAACACAGATTGGGAACTGCTGATCTAGACCGTTCCTACCAAATTGAGACATCTGCACCATATGAGTTAACTGAATGATTCTCTGTCATTTATGGAGACCAAATAGTCATAGAAAATAATTGCATTTGCATGTTTACGGAGGGGCTTGTATGAGTCCCCAGTAATCTGTATACTGTTTTTGAGGAGCACTTTCTAATTCACCATTGAAGGCTTTCATGGAATCACTGGGTTGTTGTGAGTTTTCTGGGCTGTATGGCTATGTTCCAGAAGCATTCTCTCCTGACGTTTCACCTGCATCTATGACAGGCATCCTCAGAAGTTGTGAGGTCTGTTGGAAACTAGGAGAAAGAACTCTTATCTGTTTGAGGTAAGTATGAATAGACCTTGAAACTGCTTGGCCATCAAATGGTAATCAAGGTGGCCAATTACAACATTCACACCTACCTCGAACAGACAAGAGTTCTTTTGGGTTGTTGTAGGTTTTTCCGGGCTATATGGCCATGTTTTGGAGGCAATTTTTCTCCTGACGTTTCACCTGCATCTATGGCAAGCATCCTCAGAGATAGTGAGTTCTGTTGGAAGTAGGAAAAATGGGTTTATATATTTGTGGAATGACCAGGGTGAGACAAAGGACTTTTGTCTGCTGGAGACAACAACCCAGTGATTCTGGCCATGAAAGCCTTCAACAAGAGTTCTTTCTCTCACTCTGGATATTCCACAGATATATAAACCCCATTTTCCTAGTTTCCAACAGACCTCACAACCTCTGAGAATGCCTGTCTTAGATGCAGGTGAAATGTCAGGAGAGAATGACTCTAGAACATGGCCGAAAAAACTTACAACAACCCAGTGATTCTGGCCATGAAAGCCTTCAACAAGAGTTCTTTCTCTCACTCTGGATATTCCACAGATATATAAACCCCATTTTCCTAGTTTCCAACAGACCTCACAACCTCTGAGAATGCCTGTCTTAGATGCAGATGAAACGTCAGGAGAGAATGACTCTAGAACATGGCCGAAAAAACTTACAACAACCCAGTGATTCTGGCCATGAAAGCCTTTGACAAGAGTTCTTTCTCTCACTCTGGATATTCCACAGATATATAAACCCCATTTTCCTAGTTTCCAACAGACCTCACAACCTCTGAGAATGCCTGTCTTAGATGCAGGTGAAACGTCAGGAGAGAATGCTTCCGGAACATGGCCAGACAGCCCCCAAAACTCACTTTCTAATGGTTAACTTTCCAGTGGAGTTGAAAGCATGCACAAAGGAGATGATTAACTATTCCCAGACATTTGCTCTTCTCTTTTTTGTTGCTGTTTGTTTGCTATCCTAGCATTTTATCCTTTGAAGTATTAACTTATAATCAAGATATTAATAAAGGAAATGATTGCCACTTGGCTAGTATCCACATAATAAGCAACTTGCTGAACAGGTTTGGGGGCTTTTCACTTGTTGGACTAGTCAGGATTTGGCATTCCTTATAAAATTTCTGTTGAACGTTTGAGCACTAGTAGACAAACTGAAATTCTTTCCCAATAAACTGCTCCAAGAGCTAAAATGGACCTACTGCAGCGAAAAGGGAAACTTTGCGCTCTGTCAGCTGCTTGCTGTGCATTCAAAACCAAGGAAGGCACCATTCTTGCAAACACTGCAGCCAAGTAACCACTAAAATGCAACTCTAGAATGTGTTGATTCATATCACACATTTTCTGGGTAGTCATTAAATAACTTCAAATCTGGTTACTCATTTCCTGAATGTGTAATCTGTCACTTTTAGTGTTGTGGTTTAGGTTTTAAACTCTGCCCATCCATGGAAAACCACTGGGTGACTTTAGGGAAGTTGCATTCTTCTAGCTTCAGATCAAAGCCAACTCCCCACTGAACAAATGTTGCTCAGAAAAACCCACAATAGGTTTCCTTTTGGGTCACCATAAGTCAGTGGTTCTCAACCTTCCTAATGCCGCGACCCCGTAGTACAGTTCTTCATGTTGTGGTGACCCCCAAGCATAAAATTATTTTCGTTGCTCCTTCATATCTGCAATTCACTGGACCAAATTTGGCCCAAACACCAAATATGCCCAAATTTGAATGCTGGTGGGGTTGAGGGCAAATTGATTTTGTCATCTGGGAGTTGTAGTTCCTGGGATTTATAGTTCACCTATAATCAAAGAGCATTCTGAACTCCACCAACGACGGAATTGAACCACACTTGGCCCACAGAACTCTCATGACCAACAGAAAATACTGGAAGGTTTTGGCGGGCATTGACCTTGAGTTTTGGAGTTGTAGTTCACCTACATCCATTCAAACAATGATGAATCTGAACCAAACTCAGCACAATCACTCAATATGCCCACCTGCAAACACTGGTGGAGTTTGGGAAAAATAGGCCTTGTCATTTGGGAGTTGTTGTTGCTGGGATTTATAATTCACCTACAATCAAAGGGCCCCTTGAACCCAACCAATGATAGAGTTGGGCCAAACTTCCCACACAGAGCCCCCACGATCAATAGAAAATACTGAAGGGATTTGGGAGGAACTGACAGTGATTTAGGGGAGATGTAGTTCACCTACCTCCAGAGAGCACTGTGTTCCAAAGACCATCAGAAATATGTGTTTTCTGATGGTCTTTGGTGACCCCTCTGACACCCCCTCATGACCCCCTCAGGGATCCCGACCAACAGGTTGAGAAACGCTGCCATAAGTTGAAAATGTCTTGTAGGCACACAGTGACAACAATTTGAGTGTCAACTATTGCACTCTTTTGAGATTGCTTTCGTTTTTCAGTGTTCATGGGTGCTGCTTTGCTTGATTTACCTCCCATTATAAGCTATTTAATAAGATGCTATAGTGCAGTGGTTCTCAACCTTCCCAAAGCTGCAACATCTGGGAAAACATCTGGGGACCCACAAGTTGAGAACCACTGCCCTAGTCCTTGGGGATATGCTCATGGTTGTCGATGCATGTGAAAACCGAGGCTAGAATAGGGGTCCAAAACTCCAGATTGTTCTTGATGACCTCTGCTGGGATAAGATCTTCTCCTGGGGTCTTTCCTGCTCTTAGCTGGGCCAACAGGTTCTTGATCTCTGTTGCTGCTACAGGTGACCATAGTGGAAGGTTTACTAAGTCCAGCAGAGATGCCCATATAAAGTTCTTGGAAGTATGCCTCCCAGATCCCTGGGTTGATATGAGAGTCCACAATGGGTCGGTCACAGCTTTGGGCATTTGATGTGATATCCCAGAAGGTAGCTGAGTCTTTGTCTTTGATAGCTTTGATGAGCTGTGCCCAGTTGTTTTTGTAGGCAAGTGTTTTCTTGTAGCATCTCTTTTGTTGGAGGAGGTTTTGCGCAGCTGTTGGTGTGATGATAGATATAAAGGCCCGATAGGAGCTTTTTAAGGTGTTGATACAATCTTTGTTGAACCAGGGCTTGGAATATTGTTGTTGCTTCCATGATGCAGTGTTGTTGTGCCTTAGGTGCTTTTGGAGCTCTTGAATAATGTTATTGCAATTCTCTAATAGTGCATTCAAGCAGTGGGTTCCTCCTGGTAGCATTCCACTATGTGGGTTTCTTGGGTGGAGGAGTTTAAGAGGAGGAGGATAAGAAAATGATCACTGTCAATTTTATTTTATTTTATTTTATTTATTTACAACATTTTTATCTGCCCGTTTCAGCCCGAAGACGGCTCAGGGCGGCGTACAGATCGGCAACAATTAGATGCCATATAGAAATATAGAAATACATATCTCAATAAAAACAATAAAAACATATCATAAATACACATAAAAACTATAAAACTATAAAAATAAATTAAAAACCCAATGTCTACCAATCCAAATTGCTCATCTGTTTACATAGTCTTAGGCTTGACTTCTAGGGTTTTGGCATATGGAAGAAGGTCCCTGGAGATGGCTATATAGTCAACAGCACTAATTTTGGATAAGACTATACCCCAGGGGTCCTCAAACGCACTTTGCTTTCACTCATCACAGTATCACCGTACACTTCACAAATCTGTCGATGGATTTCTGCAGCAGGCAGGTTCCTTGCTGACAAAAACTGTATCTCTGAGCGAACCTCACATGCGGCGGGGGAGTTGAGAGTCTTAAACATTTTGAAAGCACAGAACAGAACCGTACAGGTGAGCTACAGAGCGGAAACTGAGCACAGTTGTTCCCGAGGCAGGCCAGTACACGACGCACACGCTCGTTGCGGTATGCGCACAAAATACTAGTGTCTACAACAGTGGTTCTCAACCTGGGGGTCAGGACCCCTGGAGGGGTCGCGAGGGGTTTTTAGAGGGGTCGCCAAAGACCATCAGAAAACACAACATTTTCTGTTGGTCATGGGGGTTCTGTGTGGGAAGTTTCACCCAATTCTATCATTGGTGTGGTTCATAATTCTCTTGATTGTAGGTGAACTATAAATCCCAGCAACTATAACTCCCAAATATCAAGGACTATTTTCACCAAATTCCACCAGTGTTCATATTTGGGCATATTGAGTATTCATGCCAAGTTTGGTCCAGATCCATCATTGTTTGAGTCCACAGTGCTCTCTGGATGTTGGTGAACTACAACTCCAAAGCTCAAGGTCAATGTCCACCAAACCCTTCCAGTATTTTCTGTTGGCCATGGGAGTTCTGTGTGCCAAGTTTGATTCAATTCCATCGTTGGTGGAGTAAAGCATGCTCTTTGATTGTAGGTGAACTATAAATCCCAGCAACTACAACTCCCAAATGACAAAATTAATCCCCCCAACCCCACCAGTATTCAAATTTGGTCCAGTGATGAAAATACATCCTGCATATCAGATATTTACATAATAACAGTAGCAAAGTTGCAGATATGAAGTAGCAATAACAGTAATTTTTTCCTTGGGGGTCACCACAACATGAGGAACTGTATTAAGGGGTCGTGACATTAAGAAGGTTGAGGACCACTGGTCTACAACAAAACAGACCTTATTTAAAAAATACCCCTCGTACTTTCAATTTTTTAACCAGTTAATTACGATTCAGGTTTGTTGTTGTTCATTCGTTCAGTCGTCTCCGACTCTTCGTGACCTCATGGACCAGCCCACGCCAGAGCTCCCTGTCGGCCGTTACCACCCCCAGCTCCCTCAAGGTCAGTCCAGTCACTTCAAGGATGCCATCCATCCATCTTGCCCTTGGTCGGCCCCTCTTCCTTTTGCCTTCCACTTTCCCCAGCATAATTGTCTTCTCCAGGCTATGCTGTCTCCTCATGATGTGGCCAAAGGACTTCAACTTTGTCTCTAGTATCTTTCCCTCCAGTGAGCAGTCGGGCTTTATTTCCTGGAGGATGGACTGGTTGGATCTTCTCGCAGTCCAAGGCACTCTCAGCACTTTCCTCCAACACCACACCTCAAAAGCAGATACAGGTTACACTCAGAAAAATCTCCATTTTCTGCACCTGCTCCTTTGATATCTATTTAGATGCTAAAAATAACCATCAAAATGCTATTGGGAAAAAAGTTGTGGAGTCATTATGCAATTATCTCTGGTCTGGTTTAATTTCTGACTTGAATAACAAACCCATTGTATTCTTTCCAGGGGGCTTTTCTCCAAAGATTACACTGAAACCCATTATTCCGCTGATGGCAAAGAAATCACGACAAGTCCTCAGATTGAGGTAAAGTTCAGAGCATCTTCTGCCTCGCAAAATACATTGTACAATTCAAAAAGCAGGTCTCCTTTTGTCTGATAGATATGCAGATTTGTTGTTGTTGTTGTTGTTGTGTGCCTTCAAGTCATGTTTGTGTTGTGCCGATGCTAAGGTGAACCGATCATATGGTTTTCTTGGCAAGATTAACTCAAATGTTCAGCCCTCTCTTCCTTCTCTTTCTCTCTTTGTATGTGTATATGTACACATCGTTGTGTTTGCACATGCGTGAAAGAATTATGTGACTTTAAAGCAGTGTTTCTCAAATCTTCCTAATACCGCGACCCCTTAATCCAGTTCCTCGTGTTGTGGTGACCCCCAACCATAACATTATTTTCGTTGCTACTTCACAACTGTCATTTTGCTACTGTTATGAATCGTAATGTAAATATCTGATATGCAGGATGTATTTTTATTCACTTCACCAAATTTGGCACAAATACCCGATATGCCCATATTTCAATACTGGTGGGGTTGGGGGGATGGATTTTGTCATTTGGGAGTTGTAGTTGCTGAGATTTATAGTTAGCCTACAATCAAAGAGCATTCTGAACTCCACCAATAATGGAATTGAACCAAACTTGGCACACAGAACTCTCAGGACCAACAGAAACTACTGGAAGAGTTTTGTGGGCATTGACCTTGAGTTTTGGAGTTGTAGTTCACCTACATCCAAAGAGCATTGTGGACTCAAACAATGATGGTTCTGGACCAAAGTTGGCACGAATACTCAATATGTGAACTCTGGTGGAGTTTGAGGAAAACAGAACTTCCCATTTGGAAGTTGTAGTTGCTGGGATTTATAGTTCACTTACAATCAAAGAGCATTCTGAACTCCACCAATAATGGAATTGAACCAAACGTGGTACACAGAGCTCCCATGACCAAGAGGAAATACTGGAAGGGTTTGGCGGGCATTGACCTTGAGTTTTGGAATTGTAGTTCACCTACATCCAGAGGGCATTGTGGATTCAAACAATGATGGATTTGGACCAAACTTGGCACAAATACTCAATGTGCTCAAACGTGAACACTGGTGGAGTTTGGGGGAAATAGACCTTGACATTTGAGAGCTGTAGTTGTTGTGATTTATAGTTCTCCTACAATCAAAGAGCATTGTGAACTCCACCGATAATGGAATTGAACCAAACTTGGTACACAGAACTCCCATAACCAAAAGAAAATACTGGAAGGGTTTGGTGGGCATTGAGTTTTGGAATTGTAGTTCACCTACATCCAGAGAGCATTGTGGACTCAAACAATGATGGATCCGGACCAAACTTGGCAAAAATACTCAATATGCCCAAATGTGGAGTTTGGGGAAAATAGACCATGCCATTTGGGAACTGTAGTTGTTGTGATTTATAGTTTTGCTACAATCAAAGAGCATTCTGAACCCAGCCCACAATGGATCTGCATCAAACTTGGCACAAATACTCAATATGCCCAAATGTGAACACTGGTGGAGTTTGGGGAAAATAGACCTTGCCATTTGGGAGTTATAGTTGCTATGATTTATAGTTCATGTACAATTAAAGAGCCCACAATAGATCTGCACCAAACTTGGCACACTACCTACATGGCCAACATTGAATACTGGTGGGCAGGGCTGTTTTTTTTTTTAATTCTGGGAGTTGTAGTTCACCAATACCAAAAAGGAAGACAAGGACAGGCAGTGAGATCTTCAGTCTCCTCTGCCAAAAGGGTTCCTAACATCATCAGAAATATGATCCGGACCAAAGTTGGCACGAATACACAATATGCCCAAATGGGAACACTGGTGGAGTTTGGGGAAAATAGACCTTGACATTTGGGAGTTGTAGTTTCTGGGATTTATAGTTCATGTACAATCAAAGAGCATTCCCCACAAACTATAGAACTCGGCCAAACTTCCCACACAGAAAGCCCAGAACCAACAGAAAATACTGTGTTTTCTGATGGTCTTTGGTGACCCCTCTGAACGCCCCCTTGCGACCCCCCCCCCAGGGCCCTCACCCCCAGATTGAGAAACACTGGCTTGAAGACTGTTACATGACTTGCAATGGTATCGCTGTGTGTCTGAACCACCTTTAATTGTAAACAGTAGGTTGTATAGCTCTGTGTTGCTGCTAACCTCCACAGAGACATGTTTGGTGGGAAGAATGGCTTGTAACTTGGACAGAACCTTCCACATTCTTCCCTCTTTCGATTTCCTATCTTTCCCTGTGATTTGTTAGTTTCTGTCCATTAGCCTTGAGGTCAGTCGGCCAGTTTCCTTCCACTCTGATCTTCTGTTCTTCCAAAATAGCCATGCCTTATCATCTGTAAGGCCACGTTTGTTTGAAATTCAATAAAGTTTTCTTGGCATATTTCCGTAAATAATATCTGCTGGCATTTTGTGTCCTGCATGGGATGTTTTTTCTCATTTATACACAGCCTGAACCAGCTCTGTTTGAGGATAAGCATTTTTCACAGAGTATCTGATGTGGCATCAGTATTATATTCAGTACACATTCATGTTCATTTGGCTGGGAGAACATTGAAATCTTCTTTGGTTTGTGTTATGGGTACTCTTTGGCTTATTTTTATTTGCTGATGGTAGCTACGTGGATGTTCTCTCAAAGTAGGCTGATATGCATGTGGATGTATGTTCATATATGCCCAAAGAAGGTATATATAACTACATCGGTATAAGGGAAAAATGTGATCTATGGACTTGGGCTTGTCCTTGAGCCATTGGCTGCTGATGTTGCACCCCAGGCTTGGAAACACCTATGACCACTGCTCCACACAAGAATTCAGGAATATAAGCCAATGGTTTGTTGTAGGGCTGGGCGGTTTCGTTTGTTAATTTCGTAATTCGTTATTAATTCGTTATTTTTTTTATAACGAAGCGATATTGAACCATTCAGGAGCAACTAAAAATCGAAACGAATTTTTAAAATGTATTTCGTAATTGTTTCGTAATTGTTTTGAAATTGTTTTGTAATTATTTCGTAATTATTTCCGTATGTCTGGTGGAAGTTTTAGGGTTGTTGTTTGTTTTATCAGTGATAAAAAATAAATTATCACACCAACAGTCAACAACAGAGGGAGAGGGAAGCTTCAGAAGTTCCCCCTGTCCCATTTGGAGGGTTTTTTAGCGTATTGCGCAATCGCGTCCGCCATTAACGAATCGATTTGTTATTGTTTCGAAACTGTTTCGTAATTTCCGAAATTTCGTAAATATCGAACTTTTTTAAAGAAAAATTTTGGAATTCTTTTAAAAAACGAAATGCAAAAACCCCCTAAAAACGAATCGAGTTCAGAAACAAATTTTTCCGTGGTTGCCCAGCCCTAGTTTGTTGTAAAACATTTAAAAAGCACACAAAAAGCAGGAATAAGAAAGGAAGATATATAGAATCAGAGAATCATAGAGTTGGAGGAGACCTCATGGGCCATCCAGTCCAACCCCATTCTGACAAGAAGAGGGAATATTGCATTCAAATCACTCCTGACAGATGGCCATCCAGCCTCTGTTTGAAAGCTTCCAAAGAAGGAGCCTCTGCCACACTCCGGGGCAGAGAGTTCCACTGCTGAACAGCTCTCACAGTCTGGAAGTTCTTCCTCATGTTCAGATGGAATCTCCTCTCTTGCAGTTTGAAGCCATTGTTCCGTGTCCTAGTCTCCAGGGAAGCAGAAAACAAGCTTGCTCCCTCCTCCCTGTGGCTTCCTCTCACATATTTATACATGGCTATCATGTCTCCTCTCATCCTTCTCTCCTTCAGGCTAAACATGCCCAGCTCCTTAAGCTGCTCCTCATAGGGCTTGTTCTCCAGACCCTTGATCATTTGAGTCGCCCTCCTCTGGACACATTCCAGCTTGTCAATATCTCTCTTGAATTGTGGTGCCCAGAATTGGACACAATATTCCAGGTGTGGTCTAACCAAGGCGGAATAGAGCCTGGGGAGCATGACACTAGGCTCCTATTGATGCAGGGCAAAATCCCATTGGCTTTTTTTGCCGCCACATCATATTGTTGGCTCATGTTTAACTTGCTGTCCACAAGGACTCCAAAACCTTTTTCATACATACTGCTCTCGAGCCAGGCATATCAAAACATTTCAAACATATCAAACTTACATTGCATTGAAGTACGATTACAGGTCTTACAGCCTAGTGGCTTAAACAGCAAAAACCCTGATAAATAACAGCTCAACACCCTCAAAACATTGTCACACATCGCCCATCCTCATCCAAAATTAATCCAATCCACCCCACACCCAACTGTCCTTAAGGAATGCCCAAGGGCTTCTGGCTGATATACAACAGTTGACTATATGGACAGCTTTGGTTTTTGGAGAATTTTAGAATTCTGGATAAGGAATGCTCAACAAATAATATGTAGTTATTGTGGCTAACATTATTCTAAGTGCATACATAACTCTTGCAATGCATGAAAGGATGAGTGAGTCCCCTCAGGGAGATGGAGCAGTATATAAATAAATGTATTGTCGAAGGCTTTCATGGCCAGAATCACTGGGTTGTTGTAGGTTTCTTTGGGCTATATGGCCATGTTCTAGAGGCATTCTCTCCTGACATTTCACCTGCATCTATGGCAAGCATCCTCAGAGGTAGTGAGGTATATAAATAAAGTTTTGTTGTTGTTGTTGGGTGAACCAGTCAAACTGAATATTTCTCAGTGGCTAAATCCATTCAATAATAGTTATTCTCAAAATATATGTTAGGGAAACTTGCCAACAGGTGCATATTTTAGTGCTAGAGTATGTTAAAAATATTAAGTAGTCGGTTTGGATGGTATTGACTACCCATGAAAGTGACTTGGATTGGAAAAACATGACTCAACATTCATCCTCCCCTCGTGGCAATCTTGAACCCCATTGATTTCTAAAGAACTCAGTTCAACCAGTGTTCACTGAATCAGGGCTAGAATATGTTGTTTTGCTAACCTTTTATCAAATTGCACAAATTGTTCTAAACTGGCTATTTAGAACACATTTTTCTTCATGAAGGAAACGTTTATCACGTTCAGGAATGAATGAATGAACACCACTTGCATTTGGGGCGAGAATTCTGGAAGAAAAGGACATGGAGACATTTATTCTGCATACAATGCTTTTAAACTATGCAATCAGACCAAATGAAATTTCATGATCTTCAGCTTCAGCAAGCATTACCCCCCACAGCAAATGTTTTGCAGGTTATTCCAGATGGTTTCCATGGACTGTGAAAATCGGTCTTTGCCAGAGTCTTTGCAGTTCGATCTTTAAATCCTTATATTGTGTCAGCTTTTCCACTTGTTTCTCTTCAATCCTGCTGTCATCTGGGATTGAAACATCAACAATCCATACATTGTTTTTTAACATGATCGTGAGGTCAGGAGTGTTGTGCTCCAAAACTCTGTCTGTCGGAATCCGGAAGTCTCAGAGGAGTTTGGAGTGTTCATTCTCTGTAACTTTTTCTGACTTGTGATCCCACCAGTTCTTTGTCACTGTTGTTGTTCATTCGTTCAGTCGTCTCTGACTCTTCGTGACCTCATGGACCAGCCCGCGCCAGAGCTCCCCGTCAGCCGTCACCACCCCCAGCTCCTTCAAGGTCAATCCAGTCCCTTCAAGGATGCCATCCATCCATCTTGCCCTTGGTCGGCCCCTCTTCCTTTTACCTTACACTTTCCCCAGCATCATTCCCTTCTCTAGGCTTTGCTGTCTCCTCATGATGTGGCCAAAGTACTTCAACTTTGTCTCTAGTCTCCTTCCCTCCAATGAGCAGTTGGGCTTTATTTCCTGGAGGATGGACTGGTTTGATCTTCTCGCAGTCCAAGGCACTCTCAGAACTTTCCTCCAACACCACAGCTCAAAAGCATCTATCTTCCTTCACTCAGCCTTTCCTAAGGTCCAGCTCTCACATCCGGTTCTTTGTTGCAGGCAGATGGTATTTGTGGCACAAGTTCCAGTGAATCATCTGAGCAACAGTGTTATGCCTCTGCTTGTAGTCTGTCTGTGGGATCTTCTTGCAGCAGCTGAGGATGGGATCTATTGTTTCATCTGCTGCATTGCAGAGTCTACATTTGGGATCTGTCGTCAACTTTCCAATTCTGGCTTTGATGGCATTAGTTCTAATGGCTTGTTCTTGGGCTGCCAGAATCAGGCCCTCCTTTGTCTCCTTTTTCAGAGTTCTATTTGTGAGCCACAGCCATGTTTTTTCTTTGTCAATTTGGCTCTCAATTTTTCCCAGGAACTGTCCATGGAGAGCCTTCTTCTTTGGCCAGTTTTCTCTTCTGCTGTGGATTGTGTTTTTATGGTATTTGCTAGGCTTGTTTGATCAAGAAAAAAATTGGTTCTAAACTCGCTTCGTTTCCAGGGGGCGCCAGCGTTTCGAATTTCTGAGGACTTCCGAAATTTAAGATTTCAAAATTTCGAAATTTACGAAATTTCATTAATTACAAATTGATTCGTTAATGGCGGACGCGATTGCGCAATGTGCTAAAAACACCTCCAAACGGGACAGGGGGAACTTCTGAAGCATTCCTCTCCCTCTGTTGCTGACTGTTGGTGATAAAACTTACAACTAACAGAAACCAAATTAAAATAAATTCAGGATGAAATTAAAATACATTAAGTTAGTAAAAATACAAATTAAAATCACTTAAAATTAATAAAATAATAAAATAAATAATATAATAAAAAATAAAATAAAATAATAAAATAAGTAATAAGATAATAAAATATCTCCAGGAGGAGGAGGAGGAGGAGGAGGATGGGGAGGAAAGGCAACGCTGGCACCTTTTCTCTCCTTCTTTCCCGTCTTAATAATTACGAAATAATTACGAAATAATTACGAAAATTTGGAAAAATTGTTTCGATTCTTAATTACTCTTCACACTATTCCTGCATGGCTCGATATTGGATCGTAAGCTAATCTAAATACGAATTAATAACGACTTTAGAAACTAACGAACACGATCAAACAAGCCTAGTATTTGCTCTTTGTCTTTTGCACTTGAAGCAGTTTACTACTCTTGACTTCCCTCGATGTTGGTTCTTGACTGCCTTTCCCATCATCTGCCAGGGCGTGTTTCTCTTCTTCTACCGTTTGTTTAACTTGCAGAAGCCCTCTTTTCTCTGCCTCCTGATTTTCTGGGCAGGTCAAGTCTGTCGACATCACTACACGGGTGTCATGAGGAGTGGATTGTCATCAGTTTTCTTGTTTTTCTGTCCAGATCATCCAGGTCTGTTTGTGTCCAGTTCACAATCCCAGCAGTGTATCGAATGACGGGGATGGCCCAGGGGTTGAGAGCCTTGATCGTATTTCCACCATTTAATTTGCTCTTCAAAACCTTTCTGACTCTTTGGACATATTCTTTGCTGACCACCTTTTTCACATGCCCATGCTTGATATTGTCCAACTGTAGTATGCCCAGATATTTATAGGCTTCAGGCTGATTGCATTTTATGGTTTGTCTGTTTGGCATCTCTATGCCCTCGCTTTGTGTAATTTTCCCTTCCTCCTCCTCCTCCTCCTCCTCCTCCTCCTCCTCCTCTTCTTCCTCCTCCTCTTCTTCTTCTTCTTCCTCTTCCTCTTCTTCTGACACAAAAGCACAGTATGTCACAGCAAACGAGATCTATATGTTGGATTTCGTATCACAAAATCACAAGTCGAACATTTCTCAAGCGTCTAGGACTGTGTGATGTATTTTGGAATGATGCGTGCAGATCCAAGTGAGGTGGTCTTTTGCAATTGATAGATCATGAATTTGTCGATGTTTATTGTTTCCAAATGCCAGCTGAGATCTTTTGGCACGGCACCCAGTGTGTGCCAATGACCACTGGGACCACCAGTGCTGGTTTATGCCAGAGCCTTTGCAGTTTGATTTTGAGGTCTTGATAGCGGCTGAGTTTTTCCTGTTGTTGTTGTTGTTGTTGTTGTTGTTGTTATTGTTATTATGGAGCCCCGGTGGCGCAGTGGGTTAACCCTTGTGCCGGTAGGACTGAAGACCGACAGGTTGCAGGTTCGAATCCGGGGAGAGCGTGGATGAGCTCCCTCTATCAGCTCCAGCTCCTCATGCGGAGACATGAGAGAAACCTTCCACAAGGATGGTAAAACATCAAAAAAAAAATCCGGATGTCCCCTGGGCAACGTCCTTGCAGATGGCCAGTTCTCTCACACCAGAAGTGACTTGCAGTTTCTCAAGTCGCTCCTGACACGACAAATTTATTATTATTATTATTATTATTATTGTTGTTGTTGTTGTTGTTGTTGTTGTTGTTATCATGTGTTCTCTGATGGTCTTTGGTGACCCTCTGATACCCCCTCACAACCTCCCCCAGGGGTCCCAACCCCCAGGATGAGAAACACTGCTATAGAATAACATATCATCCTGCAGAAATATTTGACCTTACAAGACCTCTGTTTCCCTACAGGACCACTGCTATTATGGAGGACAGATTCCAAATGATACCGACTCTGCTGCAAGCATTAGTGCATGCAGTGGTTTGAGGTAAGATGGTCAACTGCCTGTTCTTTGTGAAAAACATGGTGTTGGAAGTTGTGTTGTTGCTATTATTATTGTTGACAAATATTAAAATGAATTACATAAATACACAGTGCCTCCAGGATGCAGCTTGGGAGTGATCCTGGACTCATCGCTGAGCCTGGAACCCCAGGTTTCGGCGGTGGTCAGGGGAGCTTTTGCACAATTAAAACTTGTGCGCCAGCTGCGCCCGTACCTTGGGAAATCGGACTTGGCCATGGTGGTCCACACGCTGGTTACATCCCGTCTAGACTACTGCAATGCTCTCTACGTGGGGTTGCCTCTGAAGACTGTCCGGAAGCTACAACTAGTCCAACGTGCGGCAGCCAGATTACTAACAGGAGTTGGGTACAGGGAGCATACTACTCCTCTGTTGCGCCAGCTCCACTGGCTGCCAGTCGGCTTCTGAGCACAATTCAAAGTGCTGGTTTTGACCTATAAAGCCCTAAACGACTCCGGCCCAGTTTACCTGTCCGAACGGATTGTCCCATATGAACCATCAAGGCTGCCAGTTCAGTTCCGAGCACAATTCAAGGTGCTGGTTTTGACCTACAAAACCCTTTACGGTTCCAGTCCAGTGTATCTGTCTGAACGTATCTCCCTCTACGTCCCACCCCGGAATTTGAGATCTTCTGGGGAGGCCCTGCTCTCGACCCCACCGCTATCACAAGTGAGGCTGGTGGGGACGAGGAGCAGGGCCTTCTCAGTGGTGGCCCCTCACCTGTGGAACTCACTCTTGGGGGAAATCAGGACATCAACATCCCTCCTCTTCTTCAGGAGGAAGGTAAAGACGTGGTTGTGGGACCAGGCCTTTGGGCAATCTGACAACTAGTTATGGACAACCAGATGGATAGGACTGAAAGGACTGACAATTGTGGAATTGGAATTTGAACTATGAGATTGCGAAACGCTGACCGTCAATGAGGAGAAATGGTTTGTATTGGTTTTTATTGCTTTTATTGGTTTTATGGTTGTTTTTGCCTTACAATAATTATTGTTTGCTGTTAATTGATGTTATTGCTAGAATTGCTGTTTTCTGTTAACTGATGTTATTTGTCTTATTGCTGTTATGTGATGCGGGCATCAAATTGTGCCTTGCTTTTGTAAACTGCCCTGAGTCCCCTCTGGGGTGAGAAGGGCGGGGTAGAAGCAACCGAAATAAATAAATAATAAATTAAGATCTTCTGGAGGGGGCCTGCTCTCAGTCCCACCACCTTCGCAATCGCGTCTGGTGGGGACGAGAGACAGGGCCTTCTCGGTGGTGGCCCCTCAGCTGTGGAACTCTCTCCCGATAGAGCTCAGATCTGCCCCCTCCCTCCTGACTTTCAGAAAGATGGTAAAATCTTGGCTCTGGAACTTCGAATTCTCAGATTGATGATGGAATCAATAACTGTTGACCACAAGGCGGATGAATTTGTGATTTACCTTGACGAATGGGCTTTCTGTAATTTTTGATCTGTATTTTAATGTGTTTTAATGTATTAATGTACTATGGTGTTATTATGCTTTAGTTTATTTGTATATTGATTCTCTGTTGTTAGCCGGCCTGAGTCCCTCCTCGGAGGTCGAGAAGACCAGGTTATAAAAGCTCTAAATAAATAAATAAATAAATAAATAAATAAATAAATAAATAAATGTATTGTCAAAGGCTTTCATGGCCGGGATCACTGGTTTGTTGTAGGTTTTTCCGGGCTATATGGCCATGTTCTGGAGGCAATTTTTCTCCTGACGTTTTGCCTGCATCTATGGCAAGCATCCTCATGCCATAGATGCAGGCGAAACGTCAGGAGAAAAATTGCCTCCAGAACATGGCCATATAGCCCGGAAAAACCTACAACAAACCAAATAAATAAATGAAATAATTCCTTTGATTGAACAGAAGGAGCTGCCCCATATCAAGTCAGCCATTCTGTCCCCCGAGTTCAGTACAGTCTATTCCAGTTAGTGGCAATAGCAGACAGAAACAGCTCGGGATGTTTTGCTCCTTGAAGTGGAACTAGAAATCTGAACTCCCCAACCAATCGAGGCGCATATTATGTTTTTGTGATCCCTGAGGCAGAACATTCCACAGACACCTCTCTTCTGTCAGTGCAAAGCTGGTGTCCTTTCATGACTCTCAAAGGTCTGAGGCAATCACTTGACTCTGCTACTGCTACCTGAGCCTGCAAGGATAGATGCCAGTGACCGAACATGGGATTTTTAGCATCCAAAGCAAGTAGCCCACCACTGAGTGCTGCCTCTCATATGGCGACTCTGTGCTGGACGTTGGATGAGCTACTCTTTTGGATGAGAACTCTCAGAATCAGCCAGCATGAGCAAGAGTCAGTGTCTGACCAAGAGAATCAAATCAACCCCAGTTCTCAATTCAATAAAGACATCATCATAGTGGGCTTTAGAAGTACAATTGGCCCTCCACATTGGTACGTTTAGCTTTTGCAGATCTGATTGTTTCCAGATTTGATTAATACATTCTTTCTGGAAATGTTGACGTCCTCCAGGGTAACTCTGTGGTCAACTTCTACCAAAAGTTGACCATATAGTCACATAGGAGGACCAAGCAAGAATATCACTCTATGAATGTCCAATGGAAGTTGACCTTAAACTGACCCTGGAAAGTTGTTGTGAGTTTTTCGGATGGTGTGGCCATGTTCCAGAAGAATTCTCTCCTGGTTTTTCACTTGTATCTATGGCAGGCATCCTCAGATGCAAGCTCTGTTCGAAACTAGGAAAATGGGGTTTGTATATCTGTAGACTGTCCAGGGTGGGAGAAAGAACTCTTGTCTGTTGGAGGTAGGTGTGAATGTTGCAATTGGCTATATCCCCTGCAGCTGTGGACAAGTCTACATGGGGACCACCAAACACAGTAATGCCCAAACACGAATCAAGGAACATGAAAAGCACTGCAGACTAATCCAACCAGAGAAGTCAGCCATAGCAGAGCACCTGAGGAACCAACCTGGACAAAGCATACTATTTGAGGATACAGAAATGCTGGACCACCCTCACAACCACCATGTCAGACTACACAGAGAAGCCATGGAAATCCACAGAGATGTGGACAATTTCAACAGAAACCATGAAAATGAACAAAATCTGGCTACTAGTATTAAAAAATTCTAAAATTATAACAGTAAATAAAGAACAACAGGAAAACTCCAGACAAGAAACAATCAGGGACAGTTTACTTACTTACTTACTTACTTACTTAGACAATCCCTTGTAGTCTGAGGATGAAGGTCCTCCAAGTGTCCTGGCGGTGGGTCCGTAGGTGACTGTGGAGCCCTATTCTTGACCTGCATCTTCTCCCACAGTGAGGGCATCGGTTTCCAGGTGGAAGGTGGTCCCAGTCAATGTGCCTTCCTCTTGGCATGTTTCTCTCTTTCACCCTCCATTCGTGCCTCTTCAAATTCTGCAGCACTGCTGGTCACAGCTGACTTCCAGCTGGAACGCTCAAGGGCCAGGGCTTCCCAGTTCTCAGTGTCTATGCCAGAGTTTTTAAGGTTGGCCTTGAGCCCGTCTTTCAATCTCTTTTCCTGCCCACCAACATTCCGTTTTCTGTTCTTGAGTTCGGAGTAGAGCAACTGCTTTGGGAGACAGTGGCCGAGCATCCAGACAACGTGGCTAGTCCAGCGGAGTTGATGGCGGAAGACCATTGCTTCGATGCTGGTGGTCTTTGCTTCTTTCAGCACGCTGACATTTGTCCGCTTGTCTACCCAAGAGATTTGCAAGATTTTCCGGAGGCAGCGCTGATGGAATCGTTCCAGGAGTTGCATGTAATGTCTGTAGACAGTCCACGTTTCGCAGGCATATAGCAGGGTTGGGAGGACAATAGCTTTATAGACAAGCACCTTGGTATCCCTACGGATGTCCTCAGGGTCAGCTAATCACCTCCCAAGGATGGATTCCCCCAGGCAGTAAGAAGCCAAACCTTGAAGCTGCTAGACCATTAAATGCTAACCAAGGTGGCCAATTGCAACATTCACACCTAACTCCTACAGACAAGAGTTCTTTCTCCCACCCTGGACACCAATTTTCCTAGTTTCCAGCAGTACTCGCAACCTCTGAGGACGCCTGCCATAGATGCAGGCGAAATGTCAGGAGAGAATGCTTTTGGAACATGGCCACACAGCCTGGAAAACTCACAACAACTCAGTGATTCCGGCATGAAATCTTTCGACAATACCTTGACCCTGGAGGATCCAGAGATTCCAAGAGAGATGTTCTCTCTCCTTCAAAAAATATTTATTTACTTTTTTCCCACTCTTGCAGCAGTGCGATGCCTCTAAAAACCACAAAAGTGGAATGTCTACTGTAGTCCATTCCTTTTAATATAAAACAAACGAATGAACCATTTGCTAACTAAACTGATCTTAGGAATAACTCAATTATCTTTCCTATTTGCTATCTATGTGACAGAATGGCTGGCAAAAATGTCTTACTCTAAGATAGAAGGGTCTCTGAGATGGAAACGTTGGCTCACCAGTTCATAGACTTGGAGGGTTTGCCTATTCACTTGAGGCTGAATCAGCATAGATTAAGCAAAGGAATGGAAATTAGGGTTTATGGCAACCTGGGTGTTTCAGATGTACTTCCAGAAAGGAGAATTAGGAGGTTGGGCTTGTTCCATATTAACTGTCATTGCTTAGGAAAGGAGATGGTTCAGAAAATGATCCTCACCATTATTTGTGATGATTTTACAGAGGGTATTTCAAGAGTCGTGGGAAGCGGTATATCATCAAACCCTTGAAGGCCTCAGAGCCTGATGCTCATGCAGTCTTCAAATACGAAAGTCTGGAAACGGAAGACGAAACACCCAAGGTCTGTGGGGTAACCAACACAACCTGGCAGTCGGATGATGAGCCCATGAAAAAGACCTCCAGGATGAGCACCAGCGCAGAAGTAAGCCTTAACCTTCCAGGATCGGGGTGTAAATCTTGGGTTGTTTTTTATTGTCTCTCCTGTCCAAAGGAAACCACAATTGAAGGGAGATATTGACAAGCTGGAATGTGTCTAGAGGAGGGAGGCTAAAATGATCAAGGGTCTGGAGAACAAGCCATATGAGGAGTGGCTTAAAGAGCAGCTTAAAGAGGAGACATGATAGCCATGTGTAAATATGTGAGAGGAAGTCATAGGGAGGAGGGAGAAAGCTTCCTTTCTGCTTCCCTGGAGACTAGGATGCAATGGAACAATGGCTTCGAACTACAAGAAAGGAGATTCCATCTGAACATTAGGAGGAACTTCCTGACTGTGAGAACTGTTCAGCAGTGGAACTCTCTGCCTTGGAGTGTGGTGGAGGCTTAAAGAGCAGCTTAAAGAGGAAACATGATAGCCATTAGGCTTGGGTAACAATGGAAAAAATTGTTTCTAAACTCGTTTCGTTTTTAGGGGGTCCATTGCGTTTCGTTTTTTTTAAAGAATTCCGAAATTTTCCTTTAAAAAAAATTTACGAAATTTCGTAAAATTACGAATCGATTCGTTAATGGCGGACGAGATTGCACAATATGCTAAAAAAAAAACCTCCAAATGGGACAGGGGGAACTTCTGAAGCTTCCCTCTCCCTCTGTTGTTGACTGTTGGTGTGATAAAACAAACAACAACTATAATACTTGCACCAGACTATATTATAATATTATTATATTATTATATTATTATATTATATTATTGTATATTATATTATTATAATATATTGTATTATATATTATATATTATTAATTATATTACAAAAATAATTACGAAATAATTACGAAAATTGGAAAAATTGTTTCGATTCTTAATTACTCCTCACACTATTCCAAAATGGCTCAATATCGGATCGTAAGCTAATTTAAATACGAATTAATAACGAATTACGAAATTAACAAACGAAACCGCCCAAGCCTAATAGCCATGTGTAAATATGTGAGAGGAAGCCACAGGGAGGAGGGAGAAAGCTTGTTTTCTCCTGCCCTTTAGATTAGGATGCAATGGAACAATGGCTTCGAACTACAAGAGAGGAGATTCCATCTGAACATTAGGAGGAACTTCCTGACTGTGAGAGCTGTTCAGCAGTGGAACTCTCTGCCTTGGAGTGTGGTGGAGGCTCCTTCTTTGGAAGCTTTTAAACAGAGGCTGGATGGCCATCTGTCGGGGGTGCTTTGAATGCATTTTTTCTGCTTCTTGGCAGAATAGGATTGGACTGGATGGCCCATGAGGTCTCTTCCAACTCTAGGAATCTATGATTCTATGAAACAAAAGACTTGTTCTCCTTGTTGAGTAAGACTACTAGGCTTGGGCGGTTTCGTTCGTTAATTTCGTAATTCGTTATTAATTCGTATTTAAATTAGCTTACGATCCAATATTGAGCCATGCAGGAATAGTGTGAGGAGTAAATTAGATTCGAAACAATTTTTTCAATTTATTTCGTAATTATTTCGTAATTATTTCGTAATTATTTTGTAATTATTTCGTAATTATTTTGGCATGTCTGGTGCAAGTTTTATAGTTGTTGTTTGTTTTATCACACCAACAGTCAACAACAGAGGGAGAGGGAAGCTTCAGAAGTTCCTCCTGTCCCATTTGGAGGTTTTTTTAGCATATTGCGCAATCGCGTCCGCCATTAACGAATCGATTCGTAATTTTACGAAATTTCGTAAATTTCAAAAATTTTTAAAGGAAAATTTTGGAATTATTAAAAAAAAACGAAACGCAAGGGCCCCCTAAAAACAAAACGAGTTTAGAACCAAATTTTTCCGTGGTTACCCAAGCCTAAAGACTACACATTTTCTGTATTTTTTTTTCCTATATTTTGGGACTTTTGTGAAAAACAAAAAAGATTTTATTTTGCATTGTTTTTCAGAAAGGACCTTTTTTAAATGTGCCAAACACCAATTTTTCAACATTCCTGCCACTTAGAGAGGTTTTACTGTTCCTTCTCCTGCCTCCTTTCCAAACTCATAATTCGCTTAGGAATCTGCTATGATAGCTAACCTTATCTGCAGAGCTATTTTGGGATCTTTTCTATATTTGACTCTCAGCAAATAGACAGATTCAAAATGCTGAGATGCAAAAGTTTAGTAACTGGTTTTGAAGAAATATGACACAATTTCCTAGCAAAGAAAGATCTCAGCAGCTCTTCAAAAACATTGGTTGGTGTTACGGTCACTATGAGATAATTGATTTCGTAACCAAACAGCCTTCATTACCACAATGGACAACCTATATGTCTTCTAATATGAAGAGTCTCCCAGGCTTCTTGGCAGCTTTTAATCTATAGAAATAAAAACGTAATGTTCGTTTGTGGGATTCACAGAACTCAAAAACCACTGGACAAATTGCCACCAAATTTGGGCACAAGACACCTAACAACCTTCACTCAAAAAATTGATTTTGTCATTTGGGAGTTGTAGTTGCTGGGATTTATAGTTCACCTACAATCAAAGAGCATTCTGAACCCCACCAACGATGAAATGGAACCGAACTTGGCACACAGAACTCACATGACCAACAGAAAATACTGGAAGGGTTTGGTAGGCAGTGTCCTTTGGTTTTGGAGTTGTAGTTCACCTACATCCAGAGATCACTGTGGACTCAAACAATGATGGATCTGGACCAAACTCTACATGAATACTCAATATACCCAAACGTGAACACTGGTGGAGTTTGGAGAAAATAGAATCTTGACATTTAGGAGTTGTAGTTGCTGGGATTTATAGTTCACCTACAATCAAAGAGCATTCTGAACTCAACCAACGATGGACTTGAACCAAACTTGGCACACAGAACTCCCATGACCAACAGAAAATACTGGACGAGTTTGGTGGGCATTGACCTTGAGTTTGGGAGTTGTAGTTCATCTACATCCAGAGAGCACTGTGGATTCAAACAGTGATAGATCTGGATCAAACTTAGCACGAATACTCAAATGCCCAAATGTGAACACTAGTGGAGTTTGAGGGAAAGAGACTTGATATTTGGGAGTTGTAGTTGCTGGGATTTATAGTTCACCTACAATCAAAGAGCATTCTGAAGTCCACCAACAATTGTATTGAACCAAACTTAGCAAACAGAACTCCAATGACCAACAGAAAATAGTGTGCTTTCTGATGGTCTTTGGTGACCCCTCTGAAACCCCCTCATGACCCCCCAGAGTTCCCGAACCCCGGCTTGAGAAATACTCCTCTAGAGCTACAGGAAACAAACTTGCTTCATCTACTATATGACATCCTTTTTAAACATTTACACATGGTTATCATGCCATTTCCTGCCCTTCGTTTCTTCAAGCTAAACATATCCAGCCCCCTAAGAATTAATAAACTCTAATTTAATAAATGTTTTACTTTATTAGTTGGTATTTCTTTCGCTTATAAGCTTTCCCTGGGCTGAGAAACTGCAGTTTTTATTATCTAAAGTTTTGATTATCTGGTTCACTCTGTACTTAGAAACCTCATCTGGATTGTCTTTGTATCATTCTTCTGTTTAGAAACAAGCCTACCTGAAGGCCAGAAAATACGTTGAACTTTACATCGCTGTAGACAACAGAGTGGTAAGTATGTCCATGAACGTGTCTGTAATTTTATTTACAGAAAGGCAGTGCATTTCCAACTTTACAAAAAAGTACTAACTAGTTGGTTAGGGATTTGGCACAAGTGCCCTCTGCCGGCAAAAATCCCCTTTGTTGACGGGGATGTTTTCTATAGTTTATCTCAAAAGTCTATTTGCAAAAATGTGTCTGCTGGTGAAAATATACTGGCAGAAGAAGCAAAAATTGGGTGGGGAGTGGACAGACATTGCGAAGGAAAGGCTAGCTTCATTGGATCTAACCTTTCCCAGTCCATTGTGGCATGATGAGGATATTTATTTATCGTGTCATCAGCAACCATACCATTGTATTACATTTCTAACAGAACAAAACAAACAAACAGATAAAAAACACAAATTTTGCAAGCTTGGTAGTTGATTAAATGTCCTTTGACCAGTATCTGGCCACTTGGAGTGCCTCTGGTGTTGCCACAAGGAGGTCCTCCCTTGTGCATGTGGCAGGGCTCAGGTTGCATTGCAGCAGGTGGTCAGTGGTTTGCTCTTCTCCACACTCGCATGTCGTGGATTCCACTTTGTAGCCCCATTTCTGAAGGTTGGCTCTGCATCTCGTGGTGCCAGAGCGCAGTCTGTTCAGCGCCTTCCAAGTCGCCCAGTCTTCTGTGTGCCCAGGGGGGAGTCTCTCATTTGGTATCAGCCATTGATTGAGGTTCTGGGTTTGAGCCTGCCACTTTTGGACTCTCGCTTGCTGATGTGTTCCAGCGAGTGTCTCTGTAGATCTTAGAAAACTATTTCTTGATTTAAGTCATTGACGTGCTGGCTGATGCCCAAACAAGGGATGAGCTGGAGATGTCTCTGCCTTGGTCCTTTCACTATTGGCTGCTACTTCCCGGCAGATGTCAGGTGGTGCAATACCGGCTAAGCAGTGTAATTTCTCCAGTGGTGTAGGGCGCAGACACTCCGTGATGATGTGGCATGTCTCATTAAGGCCACATCCACTGTTTTAGTGTGGTGAGATGTGTTCCACACTGGGCATGCGTACTCAGCAGCAGAGTAGCCCCCCCTCCCCCCCGCGCGGCACACACGCGCGCGCGCGCCCCCATCCCCCCTCCCCCCCCCTCCCCTCCTCACCTTACCCCCCAAGCCCCGCCCCTTCTAAACCCATCCCCCCTCCCCTCCTCCCTCCTCACGTTACCTCCAAGCCACGCCCCCTTCTAAACCCATCCCCCCTCCCTCTACCCTCCTCACGTTACCTCCAAGCCGCGCCCCCTTCTAAACCCATCCCCCCTCCCCTCCTCCCTCCTCACGTTACCTCCAAGCCACGCCCCCTTCTAAACCCATCCCCCCTCCCCTCCTCCCTCTACCCTCCTCACGTTACCTCCAAGCCACGCCCCCTTCTAATCTGTCAAGGAAGAATCATAGAATCATAGAATCAAAGAGTTGGAAGAGACCTCATGGGCCATCCAGTCCAACCCCATTCTGCCAAGAAGCAGGAATATTGCATTCAAATCACCCCTGACAGGAGAGAAAGAGGGAGGGAAAGAAAGAAGGAAGGAAGGAATGAGGTAGAAAAGGAAGAAAGGAGAGAAAGAGGGAGGGAAAGCAAGAAGGAAGGAATGAGGTAGAAAAGGAAGAAAGGAGAGAAAGAGGGAGGGAAAGAAAAAGGGGGAGGAAGGAAAGTTAGAGAAAGAAGGAAGGAGAGAAGGAAAGAAAAAAGGGAAAGAAGGAAGAAAGAAGGAGCGAAGGAAGGGGGGAAGATGTAGAGAAAGAGGGAGGGAAGGAAAGATGGAAAGAGAGAAGGAAGAAAAGAGACTGCAGAAGAGAAAAAGGAAGAAGGAAGGAAAGAGGGAGCGAAGGAAGGGGATGAAATGTAGAGAAAGAGGGAGGGAAGGAAAGAAGGAAAGAGAGAAGGAAGAAAAGAGAGACAGCAGAAGAGAAAGAAAAAGGGGAAGGAAGGAAAGCGATAGAGAAGGAAGGAAGGAGAGAAGGAAAGACGGGAAGGAAGGAAGGAAACAGGGAGTGAAGGAAGGAGGGAAAGAAGGGGAGATAGGGGGAAGGTTGGCCACAGCAACGCGTGGCGGGTACAGCTAGTCTTAAATAATTTCCACTTCTGAGTTCAAGCTAAAGTAAACATGTTGGATATGTTTTCTGAATTATCAAACTCTAATTCCTCATGCCATGACCCCTCAATACAGTTCCTCATGTTGTGGTGACCCCCCAACCATAAAATTACTTTTGTTGCTACTTCATAACTGTCACTTTGCGACTGTTATGAATCGTAATGTAAATATCTGATATGCAGGATGTATTTCCATTCACTGGACGCAATTTGGCACAAATATCCAATATGCCCAAATTTGAATAGTGATGGGGTTGGAGGGGATTGATTTCATCATTTGGGAGTTGTAGTTGCTGGGATTTATAGTTAACCTACAATTAAAGAGCATTCGGAACACCAAGCAACTATGGAATTTAATCAAACTTGGCACACAGAACTCCCATGAGCAACAGAAAATACTGCAAGGATTTGGTGGGCATTGACCTTGAGTTTTGGAGTTGTAGTTCACCTACATCCAGAGAGCATTGTGGACTCAAACAATGATGGATCTGGACTAAACTTGGCATAAATACTCAATCTGCCCAAATGTGAAAACTGGTGGCGTATGGAGGAAATAGACCTTTGGGATTGTAGTTGCTGGGATTTATAGTTCACCTACAATCAAAGAGCCCTATAAACCCCACCAAGGATAGAATTGGGTCAGACTTCCCTCACAGAACTCCCATGAGCAACAGAAAATACTGGAAGGGTTTGGCATTGACCTTGAGTTTTGGAGTTGCAGTTCACCTGCATCCAGAGAGCACTGTGAAGTTTGAACTCAAAAAATGATGGATCTGGACCAAACTTGGCACGAATACTCAATATGCCCAAATGTGAACACTGGTGGAGTTTGAAGAAAATAGACCCTTGGGAGTTGTAGTTCCTGGGATTTGGTGAACCCCACCAATGATGGAATTGAACCAAACTTGGCACACAGAACTCCCATGACCAACAGAAAATACTGGAAGGGTTTAGTCAGCATTGCCCTTGAGTTTTGGAGTTGTAGTTCACCTACATCTAGAGCACCGTGTTCCTAAGACCATAAGAAATATGTGTTTTCTGCTGGTCTTTGGTCATTCTTTTGACACCCCCCTCATGACCACCCCATGGGTCCCATCCCCCAGGTTGAGAAACGCTGCTCCAAGGGTTTGCATGCAGCCCATGGGCTTTGCAATATCTATCCTTGGTAAAAGCATTTTTATTTATTTCGATTACTTCTACCCCGCCCTTCTCACCCCCGAGGGGGGACTCAGGGCGGCTTACAAAGAAGGCACAATTCGATTCCTATATCAAATATACATGCATACAAGGTTAAAATCAACAGTACATAACACAATCAGTAAACTAATCTCATGCTCAGTGTTCAGAGTTCCAAAAATCCATTCCGTTCAGTCAATTCCTGTCCATCATCAAGGTCCTTCCTCTAGCTGCCAGAACGTCCAAATGCCTGGTCCCACATCCAAGTTTTCAATTTTTTTCTAAATGACAAGAGGGAAGTCGCCAATCTAATCTCCCCGGGGAGTGAATTCCACAGGTGAGGGGCCACCACCAAGAAGGCCCTGCTCCTCGTCCCTGCCAGCCTCACTTGTGATAGAGACGGGGTCGAGAACAGGGCCTCCCCAGAAGATCTTAAACTCCAAGGTGGGACGTAGAGGGAGATCCGTTTGGACAGATACACTGGGCCGGAACCGTATAGGGTTTTGTAGGTCAAAACCAGCACTTTGAATTGTACTCAGAATTGGATCGGCAGCCAGTGGAGCTGACATAACAGGGGGGTGGTATGCTCCCTGTATGTCGCTCCAGTGAGCAGTCTGGCTGCCTCCCGCTGGACTAGTTGGAGTTTCCGAGCAGTCTTCAAAGGCAACCCCATGTAGAGTTCATTGCAGTAATCTAATCAGGATGTGACAAGAGCGTGGACCACCGTGGCCAGATCCGACTTCCCAAGGTACGGGCGCAGCTGGCGCACAAGTTTTAATTGTGCAAAAAACTCTCCCAGCCACCGCCGAGACCTGGGGTTCCAGGCTCAGTGATGTGTCCAGGATCACTCCCAAGCTGCGAACCTGCGTCTTCAGGGGGAGTGTCACCCCGTCTAACACAGGCTGTAACCCTATGCCCTGTTCGGCCTTGCGACTGACCAGGAGGACCTCTGTCTTGTCTGGATTCAATTTCAATTTGTTAGCTCTCATCCAGTCCGACACAGCAACCAAGCACCGGTTCAAGGTCTGGACAGCCTCCTTGGTGACAGGTGGGAAGGAGTGACAGATTTGGACATCATCTGCGTAGAGATAACATTTTCCCTAATGCCCTCACATAGTATAAGCATTCAGACTACCAGCATGGTTTGGAAACATAAAGAAAACTGGGATTTCAAAGGAGAACTTATGAATTTCTAAATTTCCCAACATACAGATTTGCATTTCTTCACAAGACAGTCTTGTGAAAATTACTTGAAAGGCAAATGATCTTAGGATGATGTCATTTGAGGCTTAGTTCCTTCCTCCTGACAACTGTGACCACATTGCCATTCCACTTCCATATATAGCTCTGGTCTCTGAAGTGCTTATGTCAACAAAAAAATATGTAAGAGGTCTATTGTATGGAAGATCAAAGTTCTACCATGCAATAAGTCAATTTCCATATGCCATTAAGAATTACCTAACCTGAGCAGTTTTATTATAGTGACATTTATGATTTTTCTTGTAAATTAATACCTGACTAAGGAAATTGCCCCAGAAGGGAAAGGGGCAGTGCATGGGTCGTTGAAAAGCGCAAAGACATATTGCTAGAGTGTAAAGGGCCACAGGATAATACCAGCTCAGCAGCTCATCTGTTGGCTCATAAGAACATGAATTGACAGAAATAGGATCTCATGTGCAGGTCATCCGCAGAGCTCGAGATGCTTGTCAATTCTTAAGATGAAAAGCACATGTCTGCATTTTAGATGGATTTGGAATCAGCTGGTTTTCCCTGTAATTGCCAGTAAGAGCACCTAAAGCTTCGGAGAGAAATTATGTTCAACCATTTCAAAGCTCTCTGCTTGAGCAGTGATGGCATGATCGTCAGCATAGATGAAACTCTCTGTCCATTCTGGCAGCGGCTGATCATTTGTGTAAATACTGATGGAGCATGCACACTCCTCCAAGGAAGACTGTTCTTCTGTTTTCGCCTATGCCTTGCCTGAAACATGGTTTTAACCCATTCTTTGTTCCCGACACAGTAATTTCACCTGATTGCTTAGGAGGCAGGGAGTTTAGAGATGTTGACAAAGTACATTCTGTCCCACTCATAAATGGTTGAGTGAGTTTCATGGATCTCTTGGGATTGAGGCATTCTTGCAATACTTGTTTGCCCAGAGATGATAGTGGATAAGAAAGAATATGTACTATGACCACCATGAGCCAGCATGGTACAGAGGCTTTCGTGTTGAACTCTGGAGACCAGGATTCGATTCCATGCTCAGCCATAGAAATTCACTAGATGATTGCACAATCTCAGCACCAGAAAAACCTGTGATAAATTCATTTTAGGAATGCTTGAAGACACACAACTTAGAGCAATGTTTCTTAACCTGAAGGTCAGGACCCCTGGGGGGGGGGGTCATGATGCGATGTCAGAGGGGTCACCAAAGTATTTTCTGTTGGTCATGAGGGTTCTGTGTGGGAAGTTTAGCCCAATTCTATCGGTGGGGTTTAGACAGCTCTTTGATTGTAGGTAAACTATAAATCCCAGCAATTACAAATCTCAAATGTAAAGGCCTATTTTCCCCCAAACTCCACCAGTGTTCACATTTCGGCATATTGTGTATTCATGCCAAGTTTGGTCCAGATCCATCATTATTTGATTTCACAGTGCTCTCTGGATGCAGGTGAACAACAACT